CAATTTGAAAACACACATGAAACAAATAAAGACCACAACTCTCACGCCCTTGACCCCAGCACAGGACCCCAGCGTCCTGTGCACCTGCCTCTCATCCTGTGCTTCCTGCTGCTGACTCAGAGTCAGCCTTTCATTCGTAAGAACAGAACCTTAAAATAGCATCTTTTCATTTTCCTTCCATTGGCAGGAAAGAGATCGGCTCATTTGAAACAAACAAACCATTGGCCACTTAGGAAGGTGGCCTTGAATGGCAGCCACCAGGAAACACAGCTGTGACGAAAAGCTAAGCTCTGCCATCTGGTGGACCTGGCTCATGACCCTCGATCCCCCCTTACCTGTTGTGTGACCTTGGCCAAGACCCCTCTCCAAACCTCACTGTCAACTGGCCATCACGGCTATGCCTCCCTCATGGGGTCGTTTTCAAGGTCAAAGGAAACAATGGGAAGCTCTTAGCACAGGGCCTGGCATGTAAACTAGATGACCTCTCCTCTCTCAGCTACCGTGGGATTTGTCAGTCCGGTTTATTCATGCACGCCCGCAGACAGATGCAATGACGTCCTCAAAGGTGGGGCTGTGTGGGGCCTGTCCAGGGAACTAATAACAGAGGAAAGTAAACCGAACGAAAATTAAGGAAATGCAAACATGCATGATGGATACGTTTGCAGAACACAAATCTCAACGTAACTGGAGCTCAACCACACGTTAGCTTGGGCCACCTCCCGGTCCTCTAAGGCCCACCTCCTCTTCCTTGCCTGGCCCGGGGAATTCCCTCCAGAACTTCCTTTTGCAGTCCTCGAGAAGTTCCCTGGCCTCCCAGCTTCCTCTGAGGAAGGAGTGAGAGCTAAGTTTACTCATTCTCACGGGTGGCGAGGCCAACACTGTGGTCAGGCCGGGGACCAGGTCATGAATGGGAATACAGCAGACAGGAAAGAGATGCTTCCAGCCCTGTGTCCTCGTCAACCCCAGGGGGCAAAAGTCATGATTACAAACTTGGTTTAGACATGGGCTATTTGCGGATGATGAAACAGCCTGTGAAGTTGAGGGTCAGGGCGAGGCAAAGTAAACTGTGGCCAGTGCTCAAGGCCAGAGGAGCCCAGGGTGAGGGGGCAGAGGGCCCCGCAAGCCAGGCCCTGACGAAGTTTGAGGGCAGACCTTACTCCCCGCTTCCAGTGAGTGTATGCCTCGTGCTAGTTAACTTTCCCTGCTCTTAAGCTCATTTCCTTCTGCTAGTTCCAGTCGCTTCCAGGGGCCTTCACTGGCCAGCTTGGTAACTGCTAGCCCAGCGCCTGGCCTTCGCCTCTGTTCTGGAAACCGGCCAGCTCCTCCCTACCCCAATCTTTGCATTAGTTCTAATCTCTGCCAAGAACATTCTCTTCCCGGCTCCCTGCAGGGACCGTCCCCTTCTCGCTATTCAGGTCTCACTCAGCGCAGATGCCACCTCCTCCCACCACCTCCTCCCAGTGACCCTACTCGATGCTGCACCCCTGTCCCTGTCACCTCCTACATCTCTTCCTAGTACAGTTTCTTTACCTATCACCTTCCAGAGTCGCCGTGTATTTCTCCGTTGGCTTGTTTCTTCTCTGCCTACGTTCTAGAATGTAAGCTCTTTGAAACCCGTCGTCTTGTTCACAGATGCATCTGGGAATAGAGAACAGTGCCCAGCACATAGCAGATGCTCAATAAACATTCGACGGCTGAGTGAGTCAACGAGGTACAGAACTTGTTACAAGTAGGAGAGCCACACGGTCACTGAAGACCGGCCTCACGTTTTAGCTCCTTGACGTCCTACCAAGTGGGCTGACATACCCCATCACGGGGACACAGTGACAGGACTGAAAGAACGTGTTCACCAGGCAAGCAACGTAACGATGGACCCACCCCCACTCCACACCGTCCATCGCACAGGATGAACTGGTATTTTAAAAAATAAACCCAGCAATCACTATGTGAATAGAACGCTTATGTGGTTTGTTGGTGGTGGTGGTTAAAAGTGTTAAACCTCAGTGTTTAAAAACATACAATGCCAAATTTGTAAGATGATTTGTGAAGTTCTTTGTTAAAACATTAGGCGCCTCAAAACACGAGCCCCTTCCCCCTCGCCCTGGGAGACACCTTCACGAAAAGGTAAGCTCGTGGGCCTGGGCCATGCGTATGTTATCTCTGTGTCACCCCCAGAGTCTGACTCAAGACAGGGTGCACATGCACGTGCAGAGAAATGGCACAGAGCTCGCTGGCCGTGCCCAGCACCTTCAGCTACGAGCCGAACTTCTCTCGAAGCCCTAAAGGCCCAGGTCCCAATCGAGGAGACATCCATGACAACTGCCACCCTTCACTCATCATGTCCAAGCCATCAGCATATTCTGTTAAAGCTATATTCAAACACAGCTTGACTCCACAGCTCCTGGCCTATGTCATCGTCACCTCCTGCCTGGACAGCTGCAACCGCCTGCTCACTGACTACCCCGCTTTTGATCTGAAGCCCTTACATTCTATTCTCCGCACAGCAGCCAAAGTGATCTTTGGAAAACGTAAGCCAGATAATGTCATTGTGCAACTCGAAACCTCGAATGGCTTGCATCGGGCTTAGAGTAAGACCCCAACTCCTTCCCAGCCCCTTTATGATCTCACCGCACTGGATGGCTTCTCTTGGTACTGCTAAGCTCAGCAGCTTCTAGAAACAGGCTCCTTAAACATCCTAAATTCATTCCAGCCACAGGGCCTTTGCAATCATTGCTTATTCTGCCTAGATTCGTGCCCCTTCTGCTCCCACCCCTGATCTTTGCATTGCTGGCTCCTCATGGTGCAAAGCTCAGTTCGAATGCCATCACTTCAGCGAGGCCTTCTCTGACCGTCTGAAAGGCTTATCACTATACGCAATTATGTTCCCTGCTTACTGTGTTTTCCCCACTAGAATGTCAGCTCCATGAAAGCAGGAAACTTGTCTGTCTTGTTCACTGATGTATCCCCGTCATCTAAAATGATGTCCAGCAGATAGTAAGTAGTCAAAAGACATTTGTTTAGTGGATGAAGAAGATGCCGTCACATCAGAGGAAGAGCTTTAGGCAGAAGTCCCTGCGCATGTGTCTACACCACAGCACCTGGTATACCCGCCATGCCTTTTCCCTTGTCTGTTGCACACATAGAACACAGTTCCATCTGCTCTGCATCAGACGCGGCCATCTGTGGGACTGTGGCCCTGGCCAAGAGATGCTCGAGGGTAGGATCTTGCTTTATGTCACCTTGTCTGCCCCTCTATAATTAGCTCAGGGCCTGGCACGTAGCGGTCCCTCAACAAAGGCCCATCGACCTGAATGAACCTTCCATTTTCCTCTGGATTCTGAGAGCACTGCTGGACTTCAGAGTTGGTGAAATTGTCCCCCCTGCCACCTATAGTTAAACCTGGGTCAAATCTCAGTGTGCGGGAGCTCCTAGTAGCCAAATGGGAAATGAGTCAAGCAACAAAATACATGCTATGATAGGGCTATAACCCTTAAAAAAAAATCCACGAGTCCATATAAACATAAATAAATAACCGAATAAGTAAGTAAATAAATGAGAGAGATGGGGCACCTTTACTTTACAGTAGAATTCCAATTAATAGAAAACTCCCCGCAAGATATTTATTACTTATAAAGAGAAAAACAGTAACTTACAGAGGAGAAACCTAGCAGATACCACGTTCGCCAAGTAATCTAGGTCAAAATCACGGTAAGACAATTTACCATAACGTATCACTGAGGAGACCACATCGCTTCTGTGGTTTTCCTGTCAAAAGTACCTATCATTGCTCTAACCATGAGAAACATCCGATAAACCCAGATTGAAGGGCATTCCTCAAAATAACAGACCGAAACGCTTTTAAGCACCAACGTTTTAAAAGAAAAATAAAGATCGAAGCGACATCACAGGTGAATGGAAAGGGGACGCGTGGACCAGAAGAAAAAGGACATTAGAGGTAAAACTGGCAAAATCGGAGTAAGGTGTGTGTTGTAGACAAGAGTAACGCTGACTTCCGGTAGTTATACTTGAACTTTGATTATGTGAGATGATTGCGGGTGAAGCTGAGTGAAAGGCGTATGGGAACTCTACCGCATTTTTGCAACATTTTGTGCATCTAAAATCAATTCGAATTCAAAGTCCAAAACCTTTCGAGTAGCTATGATTACACACGGTCATCTTTCCGAACGCAGCGCAAGGGAGATCTCGGGGCGAGCCTCACGAGAGAGCAGAGGAGCGGGACCGGCAAGGCGACGGTCGCGGAAGCGGGTGTGTGCGCCCCTTTTCGCGTAATTACGGCACGCCTTACTCCGCGGCCCCGCGGGGCGGCAGGGAG